GTACGAAAGGCTTGAAACATGGGATTCCTGCGGGCAGCTTCCCCAAAGGAAAATTGAAAGCACAAGTCTTGGGACTAAAGAAAATGACATTGATCTCCGAAAGTGACACCCTCAAAACCAGCACATGCTAGATCCTAACGGGAGAGAAGAGCGAGCTGGGACAGGGAGTGGGGCCCGCACCTGCCGCGACCGTGGTAACCTCGCTCCGTGCGCACCACACCTGCTCAAACCACGTCATCCCGAAGGGACGTCTCTGAGAGAGGGGCTCAGAGTCAGCGTGGCGCCTCTCAGCTTTCGCCTTTCCGACAAGACGCTCCCTGGTCCGAAGGCGGGAGGGTCTGCCCCGGGGGTGGGGGCCGGGGGGGGAGCGCAGCCTGCTGTGCACGTGCGTCTCGAGAGCATCAGTCCGAGGTTTGGAAGCAGCCATCACACCACCGCATCCACTGGTTCTGATTCGTCTCACCTGTTGATGATCACAAAGGCAGGACAGGGCTGAGATCCTGAGAAATCCCAAGATCTCATGAGGAGGGTGGCTCTGCCTCCCGTCCCTGGTGCTGAGGAGCGAGGCGGCACCAGGACCCGGTGTCTGGGTTGCAGACCTGCCGTGTTGGTGGACGTGGGCCTCTCTCTCGCTGTGGACTCTGCACGGCTTCCCTGCAGGCCTCAGCCTGAACTCACGCGCGTTGTCTCTTCAAACACGCATCCCCTTCCGGCCTCAGGAGTCCATCGTTCTCCCCGAGCACGCGCAGTCATGGGCCTTCGAGCTGCAGAGCCGCATCTCTGGGTCCCAGGACGCAGCAAAGCCACGAGGCCGCACTGTGGCTGCCCCTCGTCCTGTCTGTCCCTTCACGGATGTCCCTGGCTTTAGCTCTAGGGGTACAGAGAGAGAAAAGAAGCTGGATTCCACCCCTTTCCCCTAATGTGTGCACTGCGTTTATGATGCCAGAAGTCCGTGTGACGGTCAGCTGTATGTGTCAGCTTGGCCAGGCCACGGTACCCAGATATGTGGTCAAACACTGTTCTAGATGTTTCCGTGAAGGTGTTTTTGTTCCATTACTTTCTTCTTCCAGCTTTATCGAGGTATTATTGATAATTAAGAATTGCATTGTCTCTGTGAGAGGGTTTCCATTCCCTTGAATATACACCCAGAAGTGGGATTGCAGGATCCTATCGTAGTTCTATTTTTAATTTTGTGAGTAACCTCTAAACTACTTCCCATAATGACTGTACCAATTTATATTCCCACCAGCAGCACACAAGCGTTCCCTTTTCTGGGACGATATTCTTTAGGCAGATTAACGTTTGAGTCAGCAGCCTTTGAGCAGAGCCCATCAGCCTCTGTAATCAGATTACTGATGCGTGGACTTCATCCAGTCAGGTGAAGACCTTGATGGAAAGGACTGACCATCCCCAGCGGAGGGATTCTCCTCCAGGCGGCCCTGGGGCTCCAGGCTGCACCGTTGGCGCTTCCCTGGGTCTCCAGTTTGCCCGCCCACCCTGCAGGTGTGGCCGGGACCAGCCCCCACAACTGCGTAAGTCAACCCTTGAAGTCACCTCTCTCTCTAGACACACCTCCGCTGCTGGGTGTCGTCTGTGAACAAAGACAGTTTTATCTCTTCCTTTCCAATCACGTGCCACTTATTTCTTCTTCTGATCTAATTGCACTCCGTAGGACAGAAGGCGAGTGGTGACAGAGGACGTCCTTGCCCCGTTCCCACTCTCAGAGCGCAAGGTGTCAGCCTCTCACCGTCCAGTGTGATGTTGGCTGTGGGTCTTTCATGTGAACCCTTTACGGGGTCAGGAAGTTCCCTTCGATTCTTCATATTTTGAGAGACTCTATCAGGAATGAGTGTTGAATTTCGTGAAATGCTTTTCTGCATCTGGTGACATAATCATGTGCTTTTTCTTATTCACTCTGTTACTATGATGAGTTACATTGATTTGTGTCCATTTCTTTTAATTTGCTTTATTTTAATCTGGTAAAGTAAATAGTCATTTATTTTCAAGAAAGTTATATATCATATAATATATATAATAAATGATAATATAACATTGCATAAATACATATTATATATGTTCCTTCTCTTTTTCTCTGAACCCTCTAGAGCTGACTGGCTGTGTTTCATACCGTCCTTTTTCTCCCAGTTTGGACCTCATTTGCCAGACCCCCTTCTGGTCAGCAGGATCCGTGTGGCGGAGTTCTAGCTGCTTGAACGAAGGAGGAGAGTTGTGAGCCGCCTCTGTGCGAGCCTGCGAGGACTTCCCATGTCACGTGCTCACACGTGCTGTCCATCCTCCTTCCTGGTGGGTGAGCGCGTCCCAGAGACACCTGGAGACTCGTGCTGAAGATGCTGGAGCCAGTGAATGGGCAGAGCCCGTGTTCCCGCCGCTCCGCATAGAGGAGGGGACACACACTTGCCACCCGCTCATCAGGAGCAGCAGTTTGGCGCGTAGGTGAGTGAGAAACAAACTTCTATCGCACTTAAGCCCTTTTACTCCTTACAGCCCTTTTATCTTTTATAGCTGTGGGGCAGATTTCTCATAACAGAAAAATTAATCGTCAGCCTTTACTTAAAGCCCAAGTGCCAGGCGGTGAAGACACTCCTACGGCAGGCGGTGAATGTGGAGACTGATGCTGTGTGGTTGTAACGCATTTGATCAAGCGGTTGCCTCCCAGGACTTAGAAGGCAGACAAGGTTCCGAGGGAGGCTGAGCCTGTCGGGGAAGGAGGGGAGGGGGGAAGCGGGGTAGGAGGTGTGAGGATTTTCTTTTCTCCTCTGAAGACCTTACAGAGCAGAGAGGCGCTCGTTGAAATCACTCTCTCGTTTGCAAACAGAAATGAAATTGAATAGCAAGCGTCCAAAGAGCCATGGATAAGGAGCCGCCGGGGTTCTCCGGTGACGAAGTGTTCCCTGGGTGTCTGCCATCTGTGCAGTTAAAGAAAAACAGCCAGGTGACGAGATGCAGCAGGAGAAAGGAGTGGGAAGAAACGGGGAACAGGGCCCGTCCCAGCCAGCTGCTCGGGCGCGGAAAAACGGATGTCTCTCTTAGAACCTAACTGTGACGTTAACTTCTTCATCCGGTCAACAAACATTCCGCATCATCGATAGGCCGGTCACTGTCTTGTTGTCTTGTGAAGAAGATAGCTAAGTTTTTACCTTAAAGTTGAAAGTGGTCTCAGTGGGGATATTGGCAGGAAGACGAACTATGTCCCCTGGCGCTTGATGAGATGTTTTCTCCAGGGAGCGTGTTTGGAGCGCTCCGTGAACCTGGCAGTTGGCTCGGTCTGGTTTGGTGTTGAGGGAGCCCTTCACGCGAACTCTAAGCAGCTGTTTCTTCCAGTTTCTCACATGAGTCTCTTTGTGCCAGTGGTGAACGAGATTCGTGTATTCTTCTAGTTTGGGATATTGTTAAGTCATGAGGGAAACAAATGTGGGTGTGAATTTCAATGCTTAAGTAGTCTCCCTTTGGACATAACTTTGTAAGTTAATTTGTAAACTTGAATTAATGAGTATTAAATGTATTACAAATCAAATAGATTACTTATCAGATCTTGTACCAAATAGTAGCCTAAGATTTGAGGCTTATCATCTTAAATTTACTAGAAATTCTAATTCTTTGTTACGTGCATTATCAACATTCGCAAAGTGAAATCACAATTTAAATTCCAATTCAAGGGACAGAACTGACTTAAGAAAACAGTTACTTGGTAAAGATTTGTTAATAAATGTCTCCTTGGTTCCATTCAGTGGTGCCACTGAAGAGATTAGAGCAGAGCAGAGAGAAAAGCCCATAAATACAACTTGCTGGGAGGGGCACCAGGCGTTGTGTAGGACACAGGGTGAAGGCCTTCCCCCTGAGCTGTCACCTCCTAGAGGGGACACCAGGAGCACAAATGGGAGCTGGCACAGGATGATGCCGTCTTCCCGATGCCAGTGCAGCCGTGCCGGCCTCACACAAGCCCAGCCACGAGCTGAGTGCCTAGAACACAGCCTGGAACGTGGGGATGCCGCCTGTCAACCACAAAGAGCACCCGAAAGGCCAGATGCTCACAAGCAGCCGTCTCGGGGACACCACTCAATGCAGAACCGCCTCTGAGCACACGGCCTTCTGCGAGGGGTTTTATGTGGTAGAACACGGAATCGAATTGCACGTCGGTTATTAATGGAATTCTTCAATACAAGCACAGCCGTTCAACGCAAGGAAGAGGATGCACAAATCAATGGTAATAAATAGGGTCATAAAGAAGTGGTTCTGCCTTCAAACCAATTCTAAAGCATCCAGTAAGACAGTGACACTGCACATCTTTCCTGTGACACGCTCACAGCAGTTTTTCGTGCATTCAGAAGTCATTGTGTGTGTGTGTGTGCACGTGTGTGTGAATGAGCCATGAAGGAAATGCCACTGAGTCAAATCCAACACTACCATTGTGTATTCTGTGCACGATAATAACTGAAGGCAAATGGACAAATACATTTTTGTATATTACTGGTGTTCAGTTTATACAATTTTGTTAATATTCATTCTTATGTAAACGTACTTCTCTTTTCTGATGATGTCTATTGATTTGCAAACTTACAGAATGTAGTCAAGAAAAGAAGCCAGTGGTGAAAAGAGAGACGAGTTGAAGATTTGCAATGCGAGGCGGGAGCAGTCGCCCCAGCGAGGTCCCTCCAGCAGGTTAGAGGGACTGGCTCTCAGGCTCCCGCCTGGGCTCTGGGGACGTGCGAGTCTAGGATTTCTTCAGGAGCTTCCAGGGAGAGGGACTGGCCCTGGGACCAGGCAAGGTGGTCACCCGCACGTGCCAGCATCGTGGCTTCTGGGAACAGAGTTCTGGGAGGACCCTCCGCAGCTCACACGCTTTGTCCTTGCTCCCGGGCTCGGGGGAGGGTCTGAAGCTGGAGGCTGGTGGAGTGAACGGGATCATCCCCAAAGTCAGGGTCCAGGCCCCTCCCCCATCTCCATCTTCACAGGGGTGACCCCTGCAGCAGGGCGAGCAGATGGCTCACGAGCCCCGAAATGACCCCACGGGCGTCTCTCCCAGACCGCAGCCCTGGCCGTCACACCCGAACAACGGGTCTGAGTTACCAACGGCGGCGAACGCAACAGCGCACGGCACGAGTGTGGATGGGGCCCACGCCTTTTCCACTTACCAGAACACTCTCTTCCTTGCGACTGTGCTCGTGAGCCTCTGTGGGTTGGTGGGGAACGGGACGGTCATCTGGCTGCTCGGGTTCCGCATCAAGAGGAACCCCTTTTCCGTCTACATCCTCAACTTGGCCGGTGCCGACTTTGCCTTCCTCTTCTGCAAAAGCATCAGGTTCCTACTTTTTGTTTTAAATCGCTCCGTAGCTGTGCTCAATCTGCTCATACGAGGGGTCACCTTCTCTTCTTACCTGGGGGGTCTGAGTCTGCTGATGGCTGTCAGCGTCGAGCGCTGTCTGTCCGTGCTCTTCCCCATCTGGTACAGATGCCGCCGCCCGGCGCAGCTCTCGGCCATCGCGTGCGCTCTGATTTGGGGGCTGTCATTGTGTCCGGGGATCTCTGTGCTCTTGTGTGTCCACTTTGTGGCCTTCTCGTGTGATGTAGTAAACTTGGTCTATTATGGGATGTTCTTGCTTACCTTTCTGGTGCTCTGTGTGTCCAGCCTGGTTCTGCTCATCAGGGTGCAGTGCTTCTCCATGCGGAGACAGCCCGCCAGGCTCTCCAGGATCGTCCTTCTCACGGTCCTGGCCTTCCTGGTGCTCGGTCTGCCTCTCGGCGCAGGCTTGCTGGCCGACAGGCTCTCCCCGTCCCTCCCCTATTTTGACATCCTGCTGCCCATCCTCCACCTCCTCTCCGCCCTGAACAGCGGGGTCAACCCCCTCATTTACTTCTTCATGGGAAGGCAGAGGCAACAGCGGGGCCGGAAGCCTCTCAGGGAAGTGCTCCAGAGCGCGCTAACGGAGGACGTGGAGCTGAGCACAGAAGAGCTGCCGTCCCCAGACGACACCTGATGTCCCCCTGAGCCCAGGGAGTGGGCAGCTCTGCTGGAGCCTCAAGATCCGACCCTGCACGAGGGCCCACCCATCCTGCACCCACTTTAAAGGCTGGCACAGCCACCCCATCTCTTACACAAATTCGTTATGAGAAACAATCATGTAAGTGTTGATAGGCCTCCATGCTTTGCATTGAGATTTACAAGCAAGCGCCTGTTAGGTCTAGTTTTTTTCCTCCTTGTATCTTCCTTCTGGAAGGCTCCTCTGCTAGTTTTGCTTATCCAGGCTTCCCACAGCCCTCTGCTCCTAGGGAGAGGCTGTGAACTGAACTCAATGGGTTCATGTCTTGGTGACTGCAGAGCCGAAAAGCACAACCAAGGCAGAAGCAGGGGAAGAAAGGTTTATTGCTTGCACGAGCGATGGAGAACAGCGGGGACAACTCCCAGAGCAGGGTCTCCCCGAGCTCAGTGCTCATGGAGACGTTATACACAGGAGGGCGGAAGGTCAGGGTTTATTTGTAACAAGTGTGTTCATTAAGGCGCATGTATAGCATGTATACATGTTAGTACATACATCGCATGATCTAAAAATGGCTGTTTGGACCTCCCCAGAGGAGGGAAATTTAAGATGCTAATGAGTTAAGGAAACTTTAGGACTTCTGATGCTGGAACAATTTGCAGAGGTCTTTCTGCAAACACGTGATTTGCCTGCAAACAGACCACATAGTTTCTTTTTGTCTGAAAAACCCCAGACAGATCACTTTAGTTGTTAGCTGGATCCTCCGTAACCCTTTCTTTGCCTGGTTCCCTGGTCACAGTTGGGCACAAGGCCCATGTGCAAGGGATGTCCTCACCCCAGTACTAACGCATCTGGCTGTTCCTTTGGCTGATCCCGACCCTCCCTGGGTCTCTGATCTGCCCTCCTGTGTGTTGCCCCTGGAGAGTCGCCCAGAGGGCACGTGCTTTGGAGTCCCTCCCCCAGCGCCCGCCTGGACAGGCCGGGTTCGGCACCCTTTGCTGGAACTGTGAGCTCGCTAAGGGGGCCTGGCACACAAGGTCCCGAGACCCACGTCGCCCCCATCTGTCCCGCGTCCTGATTTCCTGCGTGTGTTCCAAGTGTGCAAACACTAACGGAATGCCACCCATAGCCTTTTCCTTTACACAGAGCATCGCATGCAGGCTGTGTCTTTATTGATAATTCTCTTCCAATTTCATCCTCCTCCTTCTGTACGGCTGTGTTTTTTACAAGGTGAAGTTCCTGCTTCTTCAATGACTGCTTTTATTTTCTATTTCATAGTCGTATGAAGTAGCTCATTTACCTGCTCCAGGAAGAAAGTAAATTATGTCTGCATGTGGTGTGTTAGCGTGTGTGTGTGTATGTGTGCGTGTGTGTGCGTGTGTACATATACAGTGTAGGGAATGTATCATTTTCCAGCTTACGGTACTAAGTGTGAAGGTGATGCGTGGACTGGAGTCAGACTGCCCGCGCTCCCTTCAGACCCCAGACACCCCGTGTTAGGCGGCGACTCTGAGAAAGTCACGTAATCTCTCTAATCCTTACAATTCCACTTCGACAAAGAGCTCCTAACAAGAGTCACTGCCCCGCAGCGCTGCTCTGAGTATCAGGGGCGTCAACATCCTTCACACGCACAAAACTCTGTAAATCATGTGAAATGTTGCTGCTGGGGGTGATTGCTGTTCTGTCGCCTTCGTCACAGCTGATAAGAAGTGAGTCCCTCGTGAGTGCTGCAGCGTGATCGCTGGCGTCCCTGAGACTGGGCCCAACAGCAGAGAGAGTTGTATTAAATAGACAACGAATGAAGGAGTAGATTAGAGTTATTACTATTTTTAGCTCCATAATCCCTGGAAAGATGGATTCCTCTGTGCGTCCCTGAGGTCGGAGTTGTCGAAGTGAGTTCTGAGTTTGTGAGGGGAGAGGGAAGGCGGCACAGACTCTTCCCAGTTGCTGCCTCGTCCCGAAACTCTGGGGTCCGCACAGACCTCAGCCTGGACGCCCCTCACCCGGGCACTGACTTTGGAGTGACCGTGGATTCTGCGATGACCGGCGATCGGAAATCAGCTGTCAGCACTGCAGGTGAGCGGTCCTGCCCCTGTTAGCACGTGTGGGCTCCATACCTCACGCTGAACTAAAGAATGGAGGAAGGGTGTGGGACTGATGACATTTGGTATTTCCAAAGGTGAAGAACAAAAATCATGTGTCAGAAGGAACAAGAACATGGAAAGAGAAGCTACTCCAGATGTTTGGAAAGTACCAGAATGGGTCCACCGTCAACTTACTCAACAAGCACGAGGAGGGAGGTCATCCTTCGGGTACCCATGCCAAGGCTCTCCTGTGCTCCCAGCACCCCTAAACCTTTGTCCTATCTCGAGTATTTCAGGGGAGTGCAGTATTCTTGGAAAGAATAGAGTGTATGTTTCCATCGTGGAAAAACTCAGGGTGTTATCAATCAGGCCGGAGCAGCAATTAAAGTATCTGCAGATGGTCTAACATGACCGGGAATGAACAAGGAGGAGGGACGTGAGGAATAACACGGAATTTACCCACCAGTTCTGCTCCCTGAGTACATGAGCTGGGACACTTATGACCGGAGAGGAGAGCGCGTTTCCAGAACACAGTGAATGTAATTGGTTTATATTTATGGGATGAAAATACGTCATAGATCATCAATAGAGGAGACATGGGGAAAAGGAAATGCATAAACTCTGCTTGCAGGCACACCAACCAGCACGGAGGAGACTCTCACGACTGAACGAGGACCTCAGTCTTCTGGTTTGTGCGTTTTGTCCTCACGTCTCACAACTGACGTGGTCATCATTGCTCCCAGGACATATATGATGTTGACATTGTGTGTTCTCAAATAATTATGTCCTTGTCTGCCCATCGTGAATCCTAAACCAATAAGGCCATGAAACACTTAGGATAAATTGTGGAGCCACTACACTAGATATAAGATACTCACAGAGCTACAGGATTTTCACTGTGTTTTGTTGGTGCGAAGAGAGACAAAGAAGTGAGTGTAATATACCTGTTTGAAACAGTTAGAGACTCACTCATATGAGTACACCTCATTTATCCTAAAGACAGCACTGTGCAGAAACGTGGAAGGCCATACTTGCAAAGAGTACTTGTCATATAATTGCCATTTCTAGGGGAGTTGTGAAACCTAGAATGAAATAGTTAGAAATATTTGCTGGGCTAGAAGAAGAGAAAAGATTATTTGAGATAAGCTTTGCTAACTGCAGCTGTGCATACTCAGCCTGATCAACAGTTGTTTAAAAGTAACCAGGTCTTTTTGCCCCTCCTTAGTATATGAGGGAGCTGTTTTTCCCGGGAAGTCAAGGTCCAGGTGTCAACATGCAGCCTCACAAGGCCAAACACAGGCTGAAGATGAAAACCAATCAGAAACGTCTAGACAGTCAAGGGGAAAGAGAGTTAAGATCAAATACAGGCTGAAGATGCCAGCCAGCAGGGCCACATGCTCCCCCTCCACTACCCCTGAGCCCAGAACCTGTTCCCTCTTGCCTACCTGAAACCCCAGGGAAAAACCCCACCTTTTCCCTTCGAGGAGGTGGATTTGATTTTTAACTCCCATCTCCTCATCTGGCTGCCTTTCGATAATAAACCTCTTGCCTTGCCACAAGCCCGACATTTCAAGGAATTGGCCCTCCTGTATACTGGGTGATTGACCTGTGTTTGTGTTCGGTAAAAATTTGGTGAGCCAGCCAGGAGGTTCTCTGCCCACAGTCTGCAGCCCCAAGCCAACTGGGATTTCCTGGGAAGCAGTGCAGCAGGTCCCCAGGCAATGCACCCTGCAGACCGTCCCCGGGACTTTCCGGCCCACCTGGCACTAGACTAATTTTTCTCGTGGCATGGAAACAAGCTTCAGATTTGTTTGTTTGTTTGCTTGCTTTTGCTTCTGGTTTGGAATGGACATCGTTTTGGTGAGTTTCCTCATTAAAACTGACCAAGTCCTATTTGTCCTTTCATTTCTTGGCGTCTGCTTCAATGGGTTTTGTTCCAGCTTGCTGGAGATTGGTCAAGGGGGCCTCAATTTCTTTGCAAGTATTAGAGACCTCACTCCGAGAGGACTAACTATGGGCTCCATTTGTTTGGACGCTCATGTGTGTGTATGGATGTGTGTAGTGTGGCACCATACTGGGAAACTCCGATTCCATTCCCAGCGGCAGCCTTCTGGGTTAGGTATTGCAGAACTGGAATGTTTTCAGCTATAAACCAATGAAAAAGAAGAAGATGAAACTTAATCAAATTTGGGGTCTCAGTTTCCTTTCATGGTCTTGCAGAGGCTAATTAAAGCATTAAGTTAACAGAAAAATAAAAAGAAGCTGAGAATAAATAGAGGGGCTCTTCTCAACAAAGTGGAACTTTTAAAGGGGTTTTCAGGAAATAAGACAGTGGGGTAAATAAGACAATTTTTTTTTTAAAGATTGGCACCTGAGCTAACAACTGTTGCCAATCTTCTTTTTTTTCTGCTTTATCTTCCCAAACCCCCCTGTACATAGTTGTATATCTTAGTTTCAGGTCCTTCTAGTTGTGGGATGCGGGACGCTGCCTCAATGTAGCCTGACGAGCAGTGCCATGTCTGCACCCAGGATCCGAACCCTGGGCCGCTGCAGCGGAGCGCACGAACTTAACCACTCGGCCACAGAGCCAGCCCCAGAATAAGACAAATATTGAAAGAGAAAAAACAAAGAGGAATCAGAGAGTTAAGAGTCCCAGAATTCATTGCAACAGGATGGAAAACTTTAGCTGCTTATTAAAAGAAAAATGGGATGAATAAAATGGACATTAACGAGGTTAAAACAAATGTTTTAATAAAAGACTGCCTAATGTTGAACAGGCCAAAGGGACTCCTACTGGCCTGCCAACATTAAAGGACCTCAAACAAGTCCATTTTATTCACCTCAGCCTGGAAAACATTTAAAAGCCAGCAGGCAGAAATCACAATGAGAAACCTGACCAACAGTTGTTTGGGGCAA